GAATCGAAATCGAGCCTACAGCACCTTACTCACCTAGCCAAAATGGAGTAGCAGAGCGATTTAATCGCACAATCCTCGAAGCTGTAAGGGCCATGCTTGTTGCCCGAAACTTACCTCATCATTTATGGGCTGAAGCAGCCTCATATGCCGTATATTTACGAAATAGAGCGCCATCAGCAGCCTTGGCTGGCAAGACCCCTGAAGAAGCCTGGACTGGAAGGAAGCCAAATGTGTCGCATCTACGCGAATTTGGTTCAGAAGTATGGATAAAGGAAGAAGGAAATATTAGCAAACTCTCACCTCGAGCCAGAAAAGCAATATTTGTTGGGTTTGATGATGGGCCAAGGGCAGTACGATATTATGATCCTGAAACTCGCAAAGTCAGAAGTTCCAGGAACTTTACCTTTGGGAATAATTCTACCATCGAAAATGACCCACCATATCGCGAAATACTGCTTGAGGGGGAGAAAGAGAAGGAAGTCAATCAGCAAATCGCGCCAACCAGCGAGTCTGACACCTCTAACTTACCTCAAACATCCACTATAAACCCTCCAAAAGTCATACGAAGAGGTCCAGCACTTCCAATCGAACCAAGAGTCAAACATGGTCGAGCAGCCAAGAAGGATATTGACTATTCATATAAAACCACTCGAGCTCGTCCTTCATCAGCACAGTCTGAAGACGAAGTAGAGGGCATAGTCAGTAACAAAGGGGCTCAAAGGAGTTCAGAAGTTCAATATGATCAAGAACCTGAAAGTGAGGACGACACACCTCTTCATGATGAGGAAGCCAATATCACAAGGGCCTATGTAGCAAGCGAAATCGAGTCGAACCATGAAGTTCCACAAAATATCCACCAAGCGAAGAAATCTGCTGAATGGAACCACTGGAAGGAAGCTATGGACGAAGAGTATAGCCAACTTACTAATATGGGTACATGGGAACTCGCAGATCCAAAGCAAGACAGAAAGCTAATTGGATCTAGATGGGTTTTTGCGAAGAAATACGATGAGAATGGGAAAGTCTCAAAGTATAAAGCGCGCCTAGTAGCCCAAGGATTCAGCCAAATCCCAGGAATTGACTATACTGAAAATTACGCACCTGTAGTTCGTTTGGATGCGATCAGAACCTGCATAGCAGTAGCAGCCATCAATGATTGGGATATGCGTCAATTGGACATCAAAGGAGCTTACCTCAATGCCGAACTCGAAGAGGAACTCTATATGAGGCAGCCAGATGGGTTCAATGACGGATCCGGACGAGTCTGTCATCTCAGACGTTCTCTATACGGATTGAAGCAAGCTGGACGTGTCTGGAACAAGAAATTTCACGAGACTATCAGCAAATTCGGTTTTGTACGAACCAATGCCGACCCCTGTGTCTATTACAAAGCTCTCAAAGGAAAAATCACAATACTCACGATTTGGGTTGATGATATAATCCTCATGGGTGATGACACGATGGAAATCGAGCATACAGCAAGGAGCCTTGGTGAAATCTTCGAGGTGAAAGACCTTGGGGAGCCAAAGCTATTGCTAGGCATCCAGATCATTCGTGACCGAAAAGCTGGCACCATTACATTATCCCAGAAGAATTACATCATCTCTATACTCGCCAGGTTTGGATTTAGCAATCTAAATGGCACATCTACTGCCGTTGATCCGAATATCAAGCTTACCAAGCGAGACAATATTACAAACCCCCCAAATCCTGACGATGTACAGAGATACCAAGCAATGCTAGGCTGTCTGATGTATGCAGCAGTCGGGACAATGCCACAAATCTCATACGCAGTCCAAATGCTTAGCCAATTCTCCACAAATCCAGGCCCAGAGCACCTTACTGCCCTCAAACGCGTCTATCGATACCTTGCTTCAGCAAAGGATACCTATATTGGACTTACATACAAGAAAAGCGAGAGCTCTACATCCTTTATAGGGTATACAGACGCAGATTGGGCATCAAATCCAGTCGATAGGAAGTCGATTTCTGGCTATGTATTCCTTCTAGGAGGTGGAGCGATTTCATGGAGCTCTAAGAAGCAAACTGTAGTCGCTTTATCGTCAACAGAGGCAGAGTATATCGCTGCAGCGCACGCCACAAGACATGCTACATGGCTACAGCGCCTGCTGACTGATATAGGCCTTGAAAATCACGCGAATACACTTTATATCGACAACCAATCAGCTATTTCACTTGCAAATGATGTCATGTTCAATCAAAGAACCAAGCACATCGATATACAGTACCACTACCTTCGAGAAGTCGTCATGAGCGGACAGCTGACGTCAAAATACTGCCCTACAAACGAAATGATCGCAGATATTATGACAAAAGCGCTTGCACGCCCACAATACACGAAACTTACCAATTTATTGGGTATGCAGCAAGCTTGAGGGGGAGTCTTGTTATTAGCAAGCTCGCTGCCAGCGCAGCTGGCTAGTGTAAGCAGGACAGGCTCATCATATAGCCGCCGCTTTTGTGCTTTCTAATCATTCTAAATCATTCTAGATGTTTCGTATTATTCGTTTTAGCTTATATAAGTAGTTAGAAACGAGTATATAAAGACTAGCTAGCTGTACACGAAATAAAGTCAAGTTCTATCCTATCCTACCTTAATTACATCAGCCTCACAGCTGATTAAGCCTCTTAACGCGCCTATAATAATAATTAGATCTTGTGGTCTTGTCGAATGATCGCGTGGTTTAAGGTCAATTGCGGTCTGCCGTTTTATGATGGCATTGTCGATGTCAGAAAGTTTCCCATAGCGCTCAAAGCGACTCATAAGGGCCTCTCCAAGCCTCATCAAATAATTAGACTTGCTGGGGTGACTATCTGGTGTGAGATCGATTGCTTGTTGTTCGTGGGTGAGGGCACTTTCGAGATCTGCGAGATTACCGAAATGTTTATAGCGAGCTAAAAGAGAGACTCCCAGATCATTCAAGTGCCTGGCACGATCAAGGTGTCCCACTGGTGTTAGATCTACCGCATGCTGTTGATTTAGGATAGCATTGGTAATATCAGCGGGATCCCCTAATCTCTGGAAGCGATTCTCTAAAACTATCCCAAGATTAGCCAGGTACATGGGCTTGTCAGGGTGGCCATCCGGTGTGATGTCGATGACTTCTTGTTGGTGTGTGACTGCACCATCGATGTCGAGGAGATTACCAAGGCGACCGTAACGGACTAACAGAGAGCTACCAAGATTATTTAGATACTTGGGTCTATCACGGTGTCCATGCGGTGTGAGGTTCACCGCCGATTCGAGTTGTGTGATTGAGCTAGTAATATCTTCGAGGTTCCCAAGGCGGTGGAATCGCGCTAGAAGGGAAATTCCAAGATTATCCAAGCACATGGGCTTTCTGGGGTGTTCATCTGAGGTGAGATTGATGCCTGCTCGTTGTTGTGCGATCGCGCTGTCGAGGTCCGCAATGTTTCCTTGGTGTTCAAAGCGAATCGTAAGAGAATACCCAACAGCGCTCAGATGAAGGGCCTTATACGGGTGATTATTTGGGGTGAGATTGGCTGCCAATTGTTGCTGAGTGATTGCTCTATCGAGGTCAGCCATATTTCCAAGCCGTTGAAAACGATTGCCGAGGGAGGTTCTGAGATTGCTCCTAATTGCAGACTTAGAAGAGTCTGTATCGGGTGTAAGGTCGACTGCAGTCTGTTGGTGTATGATTGCATTATCAAGGTCGACAAGATCCCCCTTGCCTTCAAACCGCCTCGAGAGGGAGTTTCCAAGGGTAGAAAGATGCCTCGACTTGTTCGGGTGGTTGTCTGGAGTAAGGCTGACCTCGATAGAGCAATCACTCAGCAACAATTGGCAGCCAATCTCACCCCAAATAATC